ACTCCAAGCACCACCTGCACCAGTGGATATATTAATGGATCTAGCACACCTTGGCACTGTATCTCACTAAGSACTCGGCACCATAGATGAATACAGTGCACATATTGCCAGTTATACACTGATTGAAATGAATCCTACAAAACAATGCAATGTATCAATAACCTCTCAATATCACAGTCACAGGGTTTGAGCTACATTCTCGTTACAAAATTCAAGGACTTTTTAAGCACTTTTCAAGCACAAAAATTCGATTTTCAAGGACAAAGTTTTTTGTATTAGAACGTGGTTTTAAACATTGATTCAATGTTAAAGTGCAGCTAATTCAGCCAGGGCCACTAGCTTAGACTAAAAATGAGCATGACATGCAACCAACCACTAAACAAGCAACCATAAACTCTTCTATCAATTTTAATCGTTATTTATTTCAAAAGGAAAGTTAGAAATAGCATTAAGTTTGCATTAAATTCAAGGAGTATTCCAGGAGTTTTGGTGTTTTCCCCTATTTTCAAGGGCTTTTCAAGCACCCTTAAAAACGTGTTTTCAATTCAAGAATTTTCAAAGATTTCAAGGAGTAGCACGAACCCTGCAGTCAGTCGATCAGTCCTGGAGTCAGTTAGTCAGTCCATCAATCAAATTCTTACCTTTTTCTTATTAACTATTGCATTTCTAAGGTGGATAGCAAGTTGTCTAATGTAGACAAAGGCATGTTGATAAGTCAATTGAGGGTCAAGTCTRAACACCTCGACCAATGAGTTCTGCATGAAGGTTATCAATGGWAGGGTTCTTGGAGAAGTGAATTTTGTGTTCTTGACAAAACCCAGGTATAGTTGCTGTGAAGTGATAAAATTCCCATTCAATAGGATGAAAAACTGACAATGTCATAAGTTGGATAGCTGGCAGTGTTATACTAGCTGACAATGATGATGGTGATGATATTGATGATGATGACAATGATGATGATGATGATGGTGATTATGGTGATGAAGACGATGGTGGTGATGATGATGATGGTGATGACTATGATAATGGTGATGTTGATGATGGATGATGATGATGATGGTGGTGTTGATGATGGTGATGATGATGGTGATTATGGTGATGAAGACGATGGTGGTGATGATGATGATGGTGATGACTATGATAATGGTGATGATGATGATGGTGATGATGGTGGTTATGATGATGATGATGATGGTGGTGGTGGTGGTGATGATGATGATGATCGTGGGGATGATGATGATGATGGTGATGATTTTGACCACTACACAAGTGTTTGCTTACCTTCAGACAAAATTCAATCAAAGGCGAGGGAAGCAAAGCCATAATCTTGTTAAGTCCAAGGAACGCCATTACACGAACATGTTCATTACCTGTTCCCCACATACGAGTCATTCTCTATACAACATAATATTCAGAAAAGAGCAATTACAAATGTTATGCTGATCAAAAGAAAAGTCAAAAAGAAGTTAATTGTGTGGTTCCAGAAAATATCAATAACTACCAGTAATTTCCAGGAAGTGTGGGGGGGGGGGGAGGTTTAGAGGAAAAAAACAATAAGCCTGAAGTGAGATGACGTTTTACTAACAACTCTATACCATAATAGTTTTTAAAATTCTTTCATATTAAAATTTTTGATTCCTTAGAGAATACTGGAACAATAGTCATAATTAAAGAACAAAAAGAATGTGAAAAGGATTATGGTCTAGAGACGGGGGTAAAACATCATCTCGCTTCAGGCTTATTATAAATTTTGTATGAAAAAAAAAATCAGAAATTCCAAAGTGGTGGGGGACATTTTTTAAAATTTCCTGCATGGTGGGGTATGGATGTTTTCTGAAAACGATCATCGTGAGAGACTACCGTCAATAAAATAAATTGTTCCCATGCATCTTCTCGCAGTTCCCAGTTATTTATGGTAAGTTATGCCGCTTTTTCTCTCCCTTCTCCCCACTTACTCAGCTCAGCGCCTCCACAGGAATCCTAAAACATTCATCTTTACTGATGCCCCGTTCACACTATGCCAGATAAATTTGAATCCGCAACTTTCACACTGAAACCAAAAAAAAAGATTTCCATCCACACATGAAAACGGATAGAGAGGCGGCAAAAACATTTCATTGCACATCTGAGCATGTGCATCGTAGCTGAAATTGAGCCTGCAGTGAATTTTTAGCCTTCCTGCCATGTTCCCATGACAATCATGATTTCATTGTATTCAAACAATTTTGGATACAAAATGTTCTCCGTCCACACTAATACGGCTAGCCAGCGTTTTCAAATTGTTCCACTCTGGAGACTGTATTTGAAAAAAATCGTTTTTGGTGATTCTCCCCGGACTAGTGTGGATGGTAGGCCTAACCGAATATATAAAAATTTGGATTCAAATTTATCTGGCATAGTGTAGACGGGGCCTGAGTCCGGAGGGAATTCAAGTGGGACTACCAGCAGTCTAGCTTCGTGCTAGAGTTTTGTGCCTGTGCACATTGGTTATTAGCTCCCTTAATTGTTAATATCATCAACATGTCCACCATGTTATTGTTTTCTTAAGGTACAGACACACGGTGCAACATGATGTTGCAAACCATGACACACGACGCAATTTGTTGCATGCAACATTGCTGAAGTAGAAAACTATCCTACTTCAGCAACGTTGCCTGCAACATTGCGCACAATGTTGCACCGTGTGTCCGTTTTTTTACTGTCTTGGCAACATTGCAAACCATTAATAGAGGGGTTACTTCTCACCTTGATATAGTTCTTGGATATTTTAGGGTAGCAGGCAAAGAACACAGACAACTGATTGGCGTGCTTGAGGATGACACAGAGCATGGAAGGTTCTGCTAGCGTTCTAAGAAGCTGAAACAATGACAGAATAAACACCCCAAAATTATCATTTTTTCCCAGATAAACTGTAAAGACTAGCAGTAAGTAGTTGGAACTGAGTTGGTGTGTTGAATACACAAGTGAATAAGAAGGCATTATAAGAAGCTTATAACAGCTAGTAAAAACCAGTTTTGAAAACTAGTTAAAAAAATTGTTTGGAAGCCTTTTTTTTGGTAAAATAAATAACTTATTAGACATTTAARAAAGAAAAGAAAAGAAAAGAAAGAAAGAAAAGAAAAAAGACATTTTAAGGTGAAATACCAGTGGCCCAATATAACAATACACTGTACAGCAGACTTGAAGAAACATCCACTTGTATTCCACCCTAAAATATCAAATAAGATCTATATATGGAGCTAAAGTAAATTTAGGCAAAGTTAAAATCAAGGCACACTGGTAAGCGGTCTTTGGTTGCTGTGGGGGCGCCTTCAGGGGCTTCATAGCACATGGCATGGTGRTTCGGCATGGTACGTTTGTTGATCGTCGCAGATCAAAAACGTTGCGCTCGATTGCTGCTTTTTATTCCTCCTGCCCACCCATTATTGGTTGGCTTTATCAGGTAAGTATCATTCTCCACTGACTCGGTCAGTGTGACTGGTGCCTGGAGGTGGGCCGGGTTGAGAGGCCATGGTTACCTCCACTGTGAGCAGTAGCGCGACCTGACACAGTTTTCAGGCACCTCCCTCCAATTCATCAGTGCCAATGAGTTTAAATTTGAGTTAATAAAACTAATGAAATATAAAATAAAACCTGGAGTAAATCAGTCAGATAGAACTTGAGAGACGTCTTGACTTGATTCCATTTCTTGTTGCTTGATGGAAGTGTTCTGRAGAAAATATGGAATAATAGACATTATCTAATGCCTTTTTTACTCCTGTGTGTATGGCTTACTGAGTTTTCATAAACATGCAAACTCTGCGAGGTGCACTCTTAAATTGCCTGACTTTGAAACAGCTAAGAGGTTGTTTATATTAATGTACTGTACAGCAATGTACTTACACTTTTCCATGCTTTGTTGAGGAGCCTCCAATATGATGGTGTAAAACTGTGTAGACATGCTTCAGGCACAACTGAATGATGGCATTAAARACTGGAAACCAAAGAACCCAAGACATTCTCATTCAACTATTAAGTGCAARTACTAGTGCAGTAGACTCCTCACTGACAATACATGTAAATAATTGCTGGTTTTCAATCAGCATGGAGTGAAATAATGAAAGACATGTTGCTGAGATAACAAAAGAATTYATTGCCAATAATTCTCTTATTTATTCAATAAAGATGACAGCTATGATGTCATGTGCAAATGAAGAATAGCTGTCTGAGCTTACTATTGATGAACTATCTGATAGTAAAATAACATCTCTGGCTGCACTTAGGTTTTGAYAGGTCAAACTTGCCTCTGGTCTGACAAAATTTGCCTCCAGCTATATCAATTTTATCTTTAATTTTGCCACTAATATTTGCATCCTGGGTCTATTCAACAGTTGTCTGAGTTGTCTAATCAACAATTAGAGAATGAGGGCAAGAGGTCCAATTATTTAAGTCTAAACCTGAAGATATAGAAATATAGATAAGTTATAGTGCTAGGGAACGAGGTTATTCCAGGCAAAAGACCCTTGGAATTAAATTTGRAAAWATTAATTTCCGAMCTCACTGGGAATTGAACCCACGACCTTCGGAATTGTACTTCGGAATTGTAAGTCTAAACCTGCTAATCCGTCAAAATGGATACAATTGATTTCGAAGTTAGGTTGAAAACCCAAGTTAGCCACCATTKTTTTGGTTTTCAAAATTGKCACTTTTCATTACTTATTAGTGGTATATAACTTCTAATAGACCAATAGTAGCTAAGCTAATCAGAGCACAGGTTTTGTGATAGACCATTAGTAGGTTTTAAACTTAATTATCAAACACATGAATAATTCATAAGGAAAACACAACAGAAATCACCACCGTGAAGAGTGTTGTAAATCTGATACAAAACTGTGTTCATTTGCATAAACTTTAAGTTGGATTTTCTTGGCCAAATTCACTTTAATTTTGAAAATTKTAGTGAAACRCAAAGGAACTAACCTAGACGTTTGATAAGTCATATACAGTATTCGTGTCCGTGTTGTATCAGATATACAWTCACTYGGCTACGCCTCGTGGTCGTATATCTGATACAACACGGCCACTCATACTGTATATATTACAAAAACTACACAACTTGATAGTATAACTATCTAGATCGAATTAGATTTTAGAAGTTTATTTTTGTGGCCAGCAATATACTAACTAGCAATATGCTAACAAAAGATCTCTCACCTGCATTGCCCTCCACTCTGTACACAAAATGCATTGGTGTCTTGTTATCAGTAGAGACTTCATCTAGAGCACCATGTACTGCTGCTCTGAAGGCTTTGATGACTTGATGTAAACCATGCAATGACATTTTCTGAATCAAGGTAAATTATATAAAGGTTATTCTACAGGAAGGGTTTACAGGAAGGCTTTACAGGAAGGGCTTACAGGATGCACAAGTGTCCTCTCAACAATGGGTCAAATAACCGGTCATATTCTAATTTTATTTACCTCAAGTTCCTTCCTCCATTGTTTTATTATCTCCATGGTAACATGTTTGCCTTTCTTTTGGGGCTGTTCATCTTCATCTTCTGGTTCCACTTCAGCATCAGATTGGTTGTCTTGCTCTGTCTCTCCCTTGAGGATTAAGAGAAGATCTTCAGGTAAGTTGAAGTTGTTGTTAAAATCACTGTCATCATCATTTCAACTTCCATCATCCTCATCATCACCATCATCATCATCATCACTATAATCATTGTCATGCATCATCGTCATGCATCATCATCACCTCCATCTACAACGGACCTCTACAACATCATCTTCCATTATCACATTCCGCACTGGTATCTTCATCACTATCAYCACCATTGTTATCATCATCACCATCATCATACATCATCATCCCTAATTAGTAGACTTCGGCTATTTTTAAATAATTTGATACTTTAATAAAGTTATTATTATTATTATCATCATCATCATCATTATCATCATTACCTCCACCTACGACATCATCATTCTCTACCAATATCTTCATCAAGCACSCTAAAAAAGTGKGGACTAATASACCAAATTCAAAACTCACACCCATGTGAGGCTTAAGTTGTGAACAAAGGGATCTGGTGTGACTCAAAGTAATCTGGCGTGATTCAAAAGTCACRAATCACGCCAGATTCCTTTGTTCACAACTTAAGCCTCACATCGGTGCAAGTTATGAAATTTGGTCTATACTGAAAAATAAAAGAGACTAGTATATGCAAAAGGGAAAAAGAGGGGCCATATACTCCCTCTTCATTGTCCCTGTGCTCAATTGAGTCAAAAATATTGGTAAAAGCATTTGAACATCAGATCAAACCTTTGGAGCAGTATCATCATTTTCATCCTCTTCATCGGTACTCTCTTCTATTTCTTCATCAGTATCCGAGTCATTAAACTGAAGCAATTCTTGATCATTTTCTTTTAAGAACTTATAAAATTCTGGATCCTTTTCTTCGAGCTTCGACAACTGCATCTTGTGTTTCGACGTTTTGGACTTGACACTAGACCAAAAAAAAACAGACATTTTATCTAATTTCATTATCCAAATCCGTGTGAAAATTAAGTATAGTAGCGTCTGGAAAACCCAAGTGTTAACTACAGTATTTATTAGCAGATAAATATTTTGGCCAAAGCTAAAAAGTCTCCGCAAAGTCGATTCGTGAAAACAGCTGATGTCAAATAGCCCACGTGTTTTTTTTTTCCCGAAAAAGTTGAAGAATTTTTGTGTCTTAAGACCTAAAATGTGGCTGACTTTGTAAATTGTACGAGCCTCATTTAGGAATTTATTGTCTTCTAGTAGATTCTTAGATTTAGACTAACTTTTCTGGAGCCTTTTCAGCTGTTTTTTCCTTGCCATTTTCTTCGTCTTCTTCACTCTCCAAACTCAAGTCGCTATCGAAGCCATATTCCATGAATTCGTCTGCGTCCATGTCTTTTAATCTTCCAAGAGATCCAACATGTGATTAAGTACTTAGGAATTTGAATATACTGATAAAATAATCGGCGAAATGATATCAATTTTACATTTTTTACCTTTTCTTCTTCGAAGCCACGCTGTCCGCCATCTTGTAATGTAGTACCACAGGCAACCCGCTAACCTAAAGTGAAGCTGATTTAGCACGATCACAGGTAGCCCAAACTTGGTTTCTGTGGTGTCATGTAGCAGCAGTAAGGGGGACTCGCGGTCACCATTCGGAATCGCCCGGGAATTACCCGTGTTTACGCACTAGCGTCCNGGGATCTGGTGTGACTCAAAGTAATCTGGCGTGATTCAAAAGTCACGAATCACGCCAGATTCCTTTGTTCACAACTTAAGCCTCACATCGGTGCAAGTTATGAAATTTGGTCTATACTGAAAAATAAAAGAGACTAGTATATGCAAAAGGGAAAAAGAGGGGCCATATACTCCCTCTTCATTGTCCCTGTGCTCAATTGAGTCAAAAATATTGGTAAAAGCATTTGAACATCAGATCAAACCTTTGGAGCAGTATCATCATTTTCATCCTCTTCATCGGTACTCTCTTCTATTTCTTCATCAGTATCCGAGTCATTAAACTGAAGCAATTCTTGATCATTTTCTTTTAAGAACTTATAAAATTCTGGATCCTTTTCTTCGAGCTTCGACAACTGCATCTTGTGTTTCGACGTTTTGGACTTGACACTAGACCGAAAAAAACCAGTCATTTTATTTCATTTCATTATCCAAATCCGTGTGAAAATTAAGTATAGTAGCTTCTGGAAAACCCAAGTGTTAACTAAATTATTTATTAGCAGATAAATATTTTGGCCAAAGCTAAAAAGTYTCCGCAAAGTCGATTCGTGAAAACAGCTGATGTCAACCAGCCCACGTGTTTTTTCCCGAAAAAGTTGAAGAATTTTTGTGTCYTAAGACCTAAAATGTGGCTGAATTTATAAATYTTACGAGCCTCATTTAGGAATTTATTGTCTTCTAGTAGATTCTTAGATTTAGACTAACTTTTCTGGAGCCTTTTCAGCTGTTTTTTCCGTGCCATTTTCTTCGTCTTCTTCACTCTCCAAACTCAAGTCGCTATCGAGGCCATATTCCATGAAGTCGTCTGCGTCCATGTCTTTTAATCTTCTGAGAGATAAAAATGTGATTAAGTAATTAGAAAATTAAAGATAATGATAAGATAATCAACAAAATAATATCAATTTTACCCTTTTTACCTTTTCTTCTTCGAAGCCACGCTGTCCGCCATCTTGTCATACTGTATACTAGTACCACAGGCAACCCAATGTTATAAAATTTGTAAAAAAAGTTTAAAAAGTTATAAAAGTTGATTTACAGTCGATTACAGGCGGTGTGCGACACGACACGAGACAAATGACAAGATCGTCCAATCAAATTTCCTGATTTTCTTAACCAGATGTCGCACAAAATGGCATGATATGGAGTTCATATAAAATGTAAGCGCAATCTGGTACCCAAAGCCCACGTTCCTCTTGGTTTGTTAAGCTAGCTAAATRCAAGCAAAATATCATTTTTCTAACTTGATTGRAGCTTTTCTTGCCGCTGTTTAGAGACCTAACTGAAGAAATGCATCTGAATTTTCTTTTTAAAGTCAGTGAATATGTCCAAACTTTTTAACACGTGACGGTTAGCGCCGAAAAGGTGAATTGGGTTCCCTGTGGACACAGGACCCACTAAACTATGTAACGTCTTATAACGCCATGTGGGGACTCACCAATGAATGAATGAACACTTTATTTATTTAAATAGGGTAATCCCTTCAGTTACATGGAATGTATAACTGCTATTTTTCCAGCAAAAAAGAACTTTGCCAAATATCGAAACTGCTTTCTGGAATAAAACGAATACAAACTTCATTCTTACAAGTAAGTAAAATGAAGAATAGTAAGGTTTAAACAACGATAGACCTTTTTATTTACAGGCAGTGGATATTCTTACGGTATACCGTCATATCTTCAACATAATTTCCATAAATTCCCTTATGTGCTTGTGCATGTCTCATGTTGGCCATCATTGACTGCATAAACACACAGGGTAACCACCGCAGCAATCTGGCATCAGAGATTCTGGGATTCTGGGATTTTGGGATTCTGGGATTCGCAAAAAAAAAAGTTTTTTACACTCGAAAAGAAAAATTACTATGTTCCTTATTAAAGCCACAAAGTAAATTCGCTAGGAAGATTTCCGAATTTTGTCATTATCAAAATATTTAAACATTTGTACCAATAGAAATTGCATGTTGGGCATAGAATAGATGAATAGCCACTGCGTTATTTACATGCATGCATAGCATGCATATGAAGTGTGATGATTATTCTCGAAAAGAAATAAATAAATAAACACAAAAAGTAAATTATATTATGATTCGATTTTTATTAGTCATTTTGCAGTGTCATTTTTGATAAACTAGAAATGTTGTTAAAATATTACATCTGTAATAAATTATACCTGTAAAAAAAGCTTTGAGCTATCAAAAAAATTTATACTATGCAAAATATTATTATTGAATCTCATTTTAAAACTTAGCTGACATTAGAGTGCCTGCACTAAACCTGTGGAACAAATACTAATTTTTAGTACTAAATAGCCAAAGGATTCTGTATGAATTACTACTAATTAGTACTAAATATTAATATTCACAGGTTTAGTACATGCACTCTATCAAAATACAGATATGAATTATTAAGCAACTTGCAAGCAGCATGTAACAAAACCTTCATCAACCTTTTTTTTTGAAAATTATAGCAGTATTAAAAAATCTGGACTAAAAAGAATGACGAACCAATTGACAATGTCCAGCAAAATGCCTCTTAGATCTCACATGTTGATCAGTCCAATGTGAACCATAATTTTTAGCCTGCGCAGCCAGTGCATGCAGGTTGTTATTTTTAGCCTAAAAGTTGACAGAATTTGTAAGAAAAAATAGTATTGTATGTTCTTATGTTTTTTTCTCTTATAGACTATACATTGATACCATTTATGGAGGTTAAAAAAATCCTGGAATTTTCGTCAGCTACAGTAAGTTTTGAACTATTATCATTTTTTAAAAATAAAATTACACATAATTAAATCATGAAATTCCTTACAGAAGTCGTGAATGAATCATAAACTAGAGCACCCTTTCAAGTTTTGAAGCAAATGATTAGTATATGTAATAGGACTCCATGCTGTCCAATTAAGAAATAATTGGACGAGGAAAATTCCGAGGACCGTCAAAATTGGATGAGGCCGTAGGCTGAGTCCAATTTGGCAGTCTGAGGAATTTTTCGAGTCTAATTATTTCTTGATTGGGGAGCATGAAATCCCATTACCTATTAATTATATAGCTGCCTAATTAATCCCATATCAACAAGACCTGTCCAATTAAGAAAATAATTGGACAGTAACCTATATGGGATTAATGATAATTATATAATTATGATAATAATAACAATAAGATTTATATGGCGCAAAATATCACATTAGATGTTCAGATGAGCTACTTTTATGAGTAACTCATTTTGAGATCTTCAATTATGAAAATGGAGTGAAAGTAGACAATGAAATGAGAGACAAAAAGTACGGTAAAACCATGGTGGATATTGTCTGTGCTCATCCCAGAATTATAGGGCTTCATTAATACATGTAGGTAGCATGTCTTCGAGACTGCACTCTGTTCTTGGAAAACCTGAATGGCTTCCAGCCAATGGTTGTGTGCCTGATGTGCTGGCAGCATCTGTATGGCTTCCAGGCATTGGTTGCGTGCCTAATGTGCTGGCAATATCTGAATGGCTTCTGGCCATTGGTTGTGTGCCTGATGTATTGGCAGCACCTGAATGGCTTCCAGGCATTGATTGTGTGCCTGATGTGCTGACAACTTCTAGTTGGCTTCCAGGCATTGGTTGTGTGCCTGATGTACTGGCAGCACCTGAATGGCTTCCAGGCATTGGTTGT